TGGCCCGGCGAGGGGCCAGAGACCACCGTCTGCAGACACCAGGGGAGGAGGGGGTCAGCGGGCCCCCGGGGCCTCGAAAGGAGGGGGAAAGGAGGATGGAATGGGCCCTGGGGCCTCGCCCACCGGCAGATCAGCTCGAGCCCAGAGGGGACATGACTCCATGAAGCCACTAGGGGGCAGCCAAGTCCACGGCCTTGAAAAACAGCCAGGAAAACTAAAGAGCAGGACTATACAGAAAAGAGGCCCTCGTTTTCCCAGGCTAATTGCTATCAGGTAAAGATCCCTTTAAAATTCACTTTTAAGTAAAAGTAAATAAAATTACAAAACAGCAATAGTGACCAATGGGAAAAAGTGGGCTCAGTTTGATTTTAGTCTAAAAATAAAAACGAATGCTTTCCCCCTAAGATCCAGAACAGGTAACATGTCCAAGCTCACCACTACTATTAAATCTAGGACTGAAAGAACTAGCCAGAGCAATAAGGCAAGAACAGGAAATAAAAGACATACAGATAGGAAAAGGAAAATTAAATGGTCCCTATTTGCAGATGACATTATGGCCTACTAGAAAATTCCAAGGAATCTATAAGTAAACTCCTTGAATTAATAAATGAGTTCAGCAAGGTCACAGGACACAAGATCAACATACAAAAATCAAGTGTACTTCAATATACTAGCAATGAACCTGCGGAAACCTAAATTAAAAATACAATACCACTTACGATCACTTCAAAAAGCTTATAAGCCCTGGCCGGTTGCTCAGTGGTTAGAGCGTCGGACAGAAGGGTTGTGGGTTAGATTCCAGGTCAAGGGCATGTACCTCGGTTGCAGGCTCAATCCCTGACCCCCGGTCAGGGTGCGTGCAGGAGGCAACACATCAATGTGTATGTCTCTCTCACATCGATGTTTCTCTCTCCTCCCTCTCCATGCCCCTCCACCCTCCCCTCCACTCTCTCTAAAAAAAAAATTAATGGAAAATATATCCTCAGGTGAGGATTAAAAAGAAAGCTTATAATTTATAAATCTAACAAAACATGTATAGGAATTGTATGTTGAAAATTACAAAACACTGATAAAAGATATCAAAGAATATCTAAATAAACATAAGAGATTCGTGGATTTGAAGAAAATAGAAAAACTGTCAAATGTCCCCAATTGATAATACAGATTTAATTTCTATCAAAACCCCTGTAAGATGTTTTCTGGATTTAGGCAAGGTTAATCTGAACTTTACATGAAAAGACAAAGGAACTAGAATTGCTAAAACTATCCTCACAAAAAGGAAAGTGAGAAGCTACCCACTCAACCAAATTTCAAGATTCATTATATAGCTAAGTAATCAGGACAGTGTGGATTAATGGAGGGATGGAGACTTATGAAACAGAACAACTTCACATAAGTAGGGCCAGCTGTTTTCACAGAGATGCAAGAGTAGTAGTTCAATGGAAAAGGAATAGTTTTTTCCACAAATGGTACAGGAGCAATTGAACATCCATAGCAAAAATATGAACTTTGACCTTTACCCCACACCTTATATAAAAATTAACTCAAATTCAATCATAAATTTAAATGTAAAACATAAAACTACAGTGGGGCCTTGACTTACGAGTGTCCCGACTAACAAGTTTTTCGAGATACAAGCCGTCTCTCGGCCAATTTTTTGCTTTGAGTTGCAAGCTAAAATTCGGGTTATGAGCCAGCTTCAGATACCCCACCGCTAGTTGGCGCAGCGAACGTCACAGTGAACCCCAGCCACAACATCAGCCCAGCATCACGCGTCTCACTCGTTCACTTTTTGATTTAACATACGAGTAATTTGAGTTACGAGCTCCGTCACAGAACGAATTAAACTCGTAAGTCAAGTCTCCACTGTATAATGGTTTTAGAAGGAAAAAAAGTCTTCAGGACCTAGGGCTAAGTGAAAATTCCTTAGAACAGCAAAGCATGACCCACAAAAGAAAAAAGAAATCAATAAATTGAACCCCATCAAAATTAAAACTTTTGCTCTGCAAGAGACCCTTTTAATAGGATGAGAACAGAAGCTACACACTGGGAGAAAATATTTACAAACCACATATCTAATGAAGAACTCTAGAATAAAGAACTCTCAAAAACTGACTTAGCCCAGGCCAGTGTGCTCAATGGTTAGAGTGTTGGCCTGTGCACCGAAGGGTGGCGGGTTCAATTCCCAGGCAAGGGCATAGTCGAGGGCATGCACCTCAGTTTCAGGTAAACCTCTCCCCCGCCCCTCCCCCAGTCAGGGCGAGTTTGGGAGGCAACCAGTCCATGTGTCTCTCTTACATCAATGTTTCTCTCACTCCCTCCCTCCCTTCTACTCTCTCTGAAAAGCAAAGGAAAAAATATCCGCAAGTGAGGATTAACCAAAAAAACTTGTCTTAAAAAAGCAAACAATCCATTTAGAAAATAAGCAAAAGATATGAGGAGACATTTCACTGAAAAGAATATAGATAGTAAATAAGATCATGGAAAGGCCCTGACCAGTTTGGGTCAGTGGATAGAGCGCCGGCCTGCGGACTGAAGGGTCCCAGGTTCGATTCCGGTCAAGGGCATGTACCTTGGTTGCGGGCACATCCCCGGTGGGGGGTGTGCAGGAGGCAGCTGATTGATGTTTCTAACCCTTTCCCTCTCCCTTCCTCTCTGTGGAATATCAATAAAATATATATATATATAATTTTAAAAAAAGATCATGGAAAGATGTTCAACATCACTAGCCATTAGGGAAATGCAAATTAAGACCTTGATACGATTCCAGTAAACACCCATCATAACAGCTAATACTAAAAATGGTGATAAAACCCAGTGCTAGTGAGGATGTGAAGAAACTGGGGCTGTCGTGTGTTGCCAACAGGAAAATAAAATGGTCAAACCACTCTAGAAATAGTTGAGCGATTTCTCTAAAAATGTAAACATCATTTATCATACAGCCTCGCAATTGCGCTCCTGGGCATTTACCCCAGATAAATAAAAACTATGTCCATACAAAACCTGTCTACAAGCATCACAGCAGCTCCATTTGTAACAGAAATCGGAAACAACGGAAGCGTCCCTCAACAGGGTAAGCAAACTGTGGCACATCCACACCATGGACACGGCTCAGCAGTAAAAAGGGGAACTGCTGAGGCACGTGACAAGCTGGAAGTATCTCCAGGGCCTCATGCTGAGTGCAAAGGTCACGCACTGTCGGATCCACTGACACGACATTCTGAAATGACGACGTTAAAGGGACAGGAGAGGGAGGAGTGGTTGCCCCGGTGAAGAATAGTGAGGGGGAGGGCAGGCATGATTATGAAGGGCAGCTCGCAGGAGACCTTGGTGGGGATGAAACGCCCTGATGGTGCTGGTGGCTACAGGAATCTCTGCAGGTGAGAAAACGACACCGAACCCTAGACACACCCTGTCCCAATGCAATGCCTGCCTGACATTATGCTGTCCTTATGTAAAACACAGTCATTGGGAAAACTGAGATAAGGGTTCACTCTTCGGTGCCTTTCTCTGTCCTTCGCAACGTCCTGTGAATCTATGATTATTTAAAAATAAAAAGTTAAAAATAAAAACAAAACTTTAAAATATTATAAAATGCATTCAGCTGTCATAGTTTTATCAACACTTAGGTTAAATGCATTTATGTCCTAATTATTGGAACAGAGGGATTAAATCAATGGATTAAAATTGAACGAGATAAACATGACCTTCTATACGTGGTGTGCGGACTTCACAGCATGACTATCAAGGGGGTCATTTTAGAGAAACACCCCAGTGTCACTAGCTTTTCTCAGGGTCCCACATGTCCTCATCCTTGTCCATGTTCTCTTGTGAGATCCTCCCTTGTCAGCAGCTTTGCATGTGGCTGTGGCATTCTCGTTATCACTCCCACCACCCTCTCGAAATCCTCCAGGCCCAGCAAGTCCCCGCTGCACTTTGCCACTGATTTTCACGGGCTCGGGCCGAGACTGGCTGCCAAGGACACGGACAAATGGCCGCAGGGGTGCTGGACCTGACCAGGAGGGGTCTGCGTGGGGACGAGTCTGTGAGTGAACACGTTTTCAAGGGTGAATGTTTCTGTCAGGATTTCTCTTGCTCCCTGAGCCACGGAGCTCGGGAATCAAGCCATGTTGTTTAGTTTGGGGACCAGGGCTGGGTGACAAGCTCCCCGTACCTCGCCTCTGCCTGTCCACGCGCCTGCTTTCACGCTACAGGCAGCCCTTCACGAGAAGCTCCCAGACACAGGCTGGGTTTACTGTCCTCCCTTCTCCTTCAGCAGCCTGCCGCCAGGGGTCAAAGGGCAGGCAGTGGCCCTGCAACCCCAAGGCCCGCGGGACCCCATGAAATCCCACAACACTTGTAATGAGGGCTCAAAATGGGAAGTTCCATCAAGAAATAGGGCTGCAAGAATGTTTCAAAGGCGAGACCAAGAAGGAGGGAGAGTTGGAAGATCTGTGCCCACTTCAGGCAAGAGACAGATACCTACACTGGTACCGTCTGGACTCTGAGGCAGGTTCTGTTGGACTTCTTGGCTGGAGAGGGAAAGACCCATATAATTTTCCAGTTCTGCCAGGTTTGGGTACAAAACTGATGGGAAAGGAAGAAGGAGGAAGAAAGGTGTTACCAAGGTGAGCTTGGCCACAACTGCTGGCTCCAATGCGGTGACTCATTTCTAAGAAACGGGGCCTGGGAATGCTGTCAGCGCCCAAGGGTGCAGCTTCTCCCTGAGAACAGTGTTTCCCGGGGATGGGGGGTGTGGGAGAGGAGGCAGGAGCACGCGCTGGTGAGGTGGTCCTCTCCCCAGGTCTGAGGGGCAGGGGTCCTGCTCCCTCCAGGAGCAGCCTGGGACCCCGAGTGCCTCATGTACCCCCTTACTTGGCACCAGCCAGACACCCAACACGAAGTACAGTGCTGGCACTGGGGCATGAGGCCCTGCTCTTAAGAAATCCACAGAAGCAGGCGTCTGACCCGAGGGCAGCTCAGCTCTGGGGACACTGTGCCCGGGGAGGAGGGGAGAATGGAGCCTAAGTTCAAGTTTGCTGCCAAAACCTGCATCAAGACGGCCACAGACAACAACACAAGGGGCCACCACAACATCTGGCCCTCAGGCAGCAGCACAGATGGCCCAAAGCCAGGCAGTGAGCGCCTCACTGGGCCGGTTTTCTCTGGGCCCCTCAAAGGGTTCTGGTGAAGGTGGACGTGTCTAGAGCACACAGCAGAGTAGCAGACCAGAGACCAGCACTCGGAGACGCCAGAAGAGGTGACTCTCGGTCAGGAGCACCCTACTCACTCACCTGAAGGCTGGGGGACTGGTGTCTCCTGCACAGGCAGGATGGGCATCTTGGGGGTGTCTCTGGCCTGGGCCTGGGGAGAGGTGAGGGGTGCTGGTCAGCTGTGTCTGGGACCCCCCTAGATCCTCCCCGAACTGTTGGACCCTAGGAGCGAGGCATTACGTATGCTGGCGGGCCTGGGGTGTGGAGGACATGCATGACCCTTTGAGGTCCTGTGTAGATGTGGTCTCTGAGATGTCCATGTTTCTGGGGGAGGTTCGTGGTCATGCTCTATGAGCCACCAAATGACCCATTTTCTCCCTGAGGCAGCCAGAACATAGGGGCCAACTTCCAGCCAAGTTCTCAAAAAGTCCCAAACTCTCAACACCCACTGAGACCACATGGGATGGAGGGAAGAAGGGGCTTGTGGGGGCTGAGAAGGCCAAGAGCCAACCCTACAGTGTGGGGAGGACTGAACCTGGTGGAGGAGAGGCTGGGACAAAGCAGGCACGACAGAGGCCTGGCCGCAGGTGCCCGGCCGTTTCCCTTCCTGCTGTGACTCCATTGCCTTGGCCTCTGGGCACCTGCCCCGCTCAGCAGGCCCTTCGGGGGTGACTGCATGCCTGGGGCCCAACCACCCACCAACGTCCAAGACCAGCCTCCCTTAGCTGCCCTGGGTGATCCTGAAGGCTCCATCAGGGGGTCCAGGCTAACACGGGCCTGGCGACGTACCTGAATGGCTTGGTCCACCTTCAGGTCCTCCAGCGATGGGTACAGGGTGGACATGGCTGCTCCGTGAAACACCCTGCAGGGCACAGAAGGCAAGGAGGAACGAGGGGTGAGAGGAGGCACAGATGTCCACCTTCTGTCCACATGAGCCGTTTAGCACTCTCAGGATGAAAACGATACCAGGAAGGCACAATTACCTCCCATTTTGGAAATGGAGGAGCTGGGGTTTGTACCCAAGTCTGTTTGGTTCCCCAGCTCATGGTCTCCACCCTTGCAGAGTTCCATCCCACCACATTCAATTGGTTCTGGGCTACAGAACCCGGGCTCAGGGAACCACCCAGGACATGCTGGCCGGGAAAAGCAGGACTGGGGGCCACATCCTTCCCTGCCCTGTTTCAAAGATCAGGCCTGTTTATGAGACCTACATTCAATCCAGCAGGTGCGTAGTGAGTACCCGCTGCGTACCAGTGTATGTTGGGGTTTGAAAAGCATTGCCCCACCACTACACAGAATCCGGTCCAGTGTCCAGTGGGCGGGGACTTAGTTACAACAGAAAGGCAGCAGGCCCTTCAGAATTCCTTCCCCACCCCACCCCACCCCCACGCCCCTTTTCACTTCTGGACGTTTGAGTTCCTGCTGTATAAACCATTTCCAGCCTTGATCTTGGCCACGGTGAAGTGAGACCAATGGAAATTCTTAAAAACAGGCATACAAACTGTAGCAGAATTTAAAAACTCCACAGAGAACAGGAAGGAATGGGGACCTGGGGGAGCACCATGAACATTTCCCGAATACCTTCTAAGTGTCCCAGAGGAGAGTCAGTAAGACCTTGGAGCAAGGTATCCAGCAAAATTCAAAGGAATTACAAGTGATGCTTTATTTCCTGCCTAGATGAAATGTGAGGAAGAGGCTGCTTTCAGATTCTTGAATAAATCGAGTTTTTTTTTCATGTCTCCAGGCCTTTGCATATGCTAGTCCCTCTCTCTGAATACTCCTCGACCCCTTCCACTTCCTGCCTGGCCAACTGCTAATCGTTTCCAAGCCCCAGATCAGAGCACTCTTCTTCCGGGAAGCCTGCCTTGATTTGTGCTCTCTTCCCCAACCCCACCCATGTCCTTACTCATGCTGATTATTCCGTTGCCTGTAGTTGCCTCTTAAATGGTCCATCTACCTTGTTCGACTGGGAGTTCCAAAATGGCAGGACTGGGCCTTCTCCCTTGTCATGGAGCCCCTCACCCCTCACCCCTCGTGTGGAGGCTAAATCGGTGATACTGCCAGAAGCACTACACTCTGCCTGGCTCTCACTTTTCTCTTTAAAGCTTTGACGTCCTAAGGACAACGGCCTTCCTAAGATGGCAACAGGCCCAGCGGTCCTTCAGTCTTGTTCACCTCTCACAGGCTTAGGTGTCTTTTATTTGAATTAGTGCCAACATTGTAAGATATGGAAATATAAAATGCTTCACTTCTAATTGTATTGAAAACCATAAGAACGTTGGGCAATGCAAGAGCAGGGGTCGTGCATAGCAACACTCAGCCTACCTCCAGAGGGGCTGCTGGTGCTTTCCTATTCCCCCAAATACCCAGCCAGGCGGTTCAGTTCCAGATCCTGCCCTCGCCTGGCCTTCGGGGAAGAAATGACCATCTCACGAGGTCAGGGATCTCCCAGGGGGAGAGGGAGACTGACGCTAACCTCCTTTAGACCAGCTGGGCGGCCGTCTGCCTGTGGCCTCCCCCTGTGCACATACTCTGGAGGTTTTTATCTTAGGACAGTCCTTGGCAGGTACCATCTGCCCAAAACACCCCGTGCCAGCACAACCTCGCACAAACAGCGGTGAGAGGCTACCCCTGCCCTGTTTTTTCCCAACTATGAAGCAACAGGGAGGCTGTATTTTTAGCAGCTGCCCTCTGGGAGAGGGGAATCAGAGAGCCACTTCCTGGAAATCACTCCCAGGCCAGGACCACACAACCCTTTCTCCGTTTCAGTGGCCCTTCCACCACTGTCACCTGCTTGGTGGTCCCAACTCAGTCTGGGGCTCTGGGGGGCATCAAGAGGCAGGTATTCCCCTGCCTTGTCGCAGTTTTGAGCAGTTCATGGTCGAGTGGGGAATGCTCCCTGCCAGCAAGCATGGCTGTGTCTCATTCACAGAATGTGAGCGTCTGTCTGCTGTGTGCGGGACCCTGGCCCTCTTTCAGTCATGCTGGCCCCTCTGCTTGGCCCACCACCTCCTCTGCCTGGCGCCCTTCCAAGGCTCAGCTCAAAAGCTGCTTCTCTGTTTTTGAGGCCACGGGACCCTCTGCTAGTCGGCTGGGCCTTCGTTTGTTCCTAACCTGAGCTGTGCTGCCTCTATTACCAAGCTGTTTAGCATATTTCTTTTTATATTTTATTGATTTTTTTTTTTTTTTTTACAGAGAGGAAGGGAGAGGGATAGAGAGTTAGAAACATCGATGAGAGAGAAACATCGATCAGCTGCCTCCTGCACACCCCCTACTGGGGATGTGTCCACAACCAAGGTACATGCCCTTGACCGGAATCGAACCCGGGACCCTTCAGTCTGCAGTCCGACGCTCTATCCACTGAGCCAAACCGGTTAGGGCCTGTTTAGCATATTATATGATTACTATCTGGGCATTTTCTCACAATGGATCCAACCTCAGAAGGGCAGGGGCCTCCCTCCCGCCCACCTACCCACCCCGTTCACCACTCCATGCCTCCCCACCAAACATGCCCAGCACGCGAAGGCTGGCAAAAATCAGTGTTTTCCCAAAGCCCAGAGTGGAATTTTGTGTGGGCATTTTGAGGGGACACTATTAGCCTTCAGGAAGCAGGGAGCAGGGATCTGGACCTCTTGTCATGCACGGAATAATTCACCACAGTAAATGTCCTCTGTCCTGCAAACCTCCAGGGAGGCAAAACACCTGCTTATGACCTGTTTTACATACAAATACAAAATACACAAAATTCCCCCCCGGCTTTCACATACAATAGGTTATCCAGGAGGTCATGTACCAGGTCAATCGAGGGAAGTTATACTTTTTTTTTTTTAATACATTTTATTGACTTTTTACAGAAAGAAGGGAGAGAGATAGAGAGCTACAAACATCGATGAGAGAGAAACATCGATCAGCTGCCTCCTGCACATCTCCCACTGGGGATGTGCCCGCAACCCAGGTACATGCCCTTGACCGGAATCGAACCTGGGACCTTTCAGTCTGCAGGCCGACGCTCCATCCGCTGAGCCAAACCGGTTTGGCGGGAAGTTATACTTTGTTTTGTTCACCATTTTGGAACATCACTGTCGATCCTTCTCACCACAGGTCAGTCACCAGCACACACCCATACGTGTCTGCATTTGTAGCTGCCACAGCGATTCCACGCCTGTATGCAAATACATTAGCCTGCGACTTAAGATGTCAACTATAGCCCTGGCCGGTTTGGCTCAGTGGATAGAGCATCGGCCTGAGGACTGAGGGGTCCCAGGTTCGATTCCGGTCAAGGGCATGTACCTTGGTTGCGGACACATCCCTAGTGGGGAGTGTGCAGAAGGCAGCTGATAGATGTTTCTAACTCTCTATCCCTCTCCCTTCCTCTCTGTAAAAAATCAATAAAATGTATTTTTTTTAAATGTCAACTATAAACTGTTGGCAAAATTCAGTTGAATGTTGTGTTTTAATAATCCAAACTTAATCATTTTGTCAGGGACGAGCATGATCGGTGTAGCCCAATAGTGAAGTGCGTCATCTTTTACCATAAATTACTCCGCCCCCCTTTCTCCTTGTACTAAGGCAGGGAGGGCATCCTATCAATTTCTTACCGAGGAAATGGCCGCTGTGGACAACCCGCCCCCTCCCTCAGCCGCAATTCCCGCTGTCAAATGGGAGCCGCCAAGCACACACTCCATGCCCGGGGCCCAGAGAGCGCCCCGGGGTCCCTGGGGTTCGTGCTTCACCCCAGGCCCGCTTCCCAGACGGTCAGGCCGCCAGCTCATCGATCTCCAGGCACTCGGACTCCAATCGCCATGCAGTTCGATTCCCGCCGGAAACGACCGCTCCCGGTTGCTAGGGGCTACGGCGACTGAGCAGAGGCCCCGCCAGGCCGCTAGGGTGCGCGGTGGCGTCTAGGGCGCATGCGTCTGGCCCACCCGGCCAGCGCGGGCTGCGGGCGACTCCCCAAATCAGTGGTTCTCAACCTTGGCTGCACATTGGAATCACCTGGGAATCTTTTTAAAATCCTGATTTCTGGGCCTCATCCTCCGGAAATTCTGTTTCTTTATGAGGTGGAGCCACAACATTAGTAACAAAGACACAGAATTTTCCGGAGGATGAGGCCCAGAAACCAGGATTTTAAAAAGATTCCCAGGTGATGCTAATGTAGAGCCACGGTGGAGAACCACTGCCCAAAATGCTTTCCGGTTGCGGGGCTGGAAATGCCCGCTTCCCCGCCGAGTGGGTTGTTGGCGTGGTTGGTTACTAGAATCCACTCGGCTTCCTTCTTTCTTTTTAAATATATTTTTGTGGATTTCAGAGAGAAAGCGGGGAGAGAAATAGCAATGATGAGAATCACTGACCGGCTGCCTCCTGCACGCCCAGCCCTGGGGATGGAGCCCGCAACCCGGGCAAGTGCCCCAACCCAACCATGACCTCCTGGTTCATAGGTCCTCGCCCCACCACTGAGCCACGCGGTCAGGGTTGGCAAGGCGCCCGGAGCTGGCGCTGGCATCCACAGAAAGATCGGCTAAAGCAGCAGATTAAGAGGCTGGAAGACGGCTTGGCCAGGCCCCGCGGTTCTCTCTTTACCGGCTGGAGGCTACGGGTCAAATCGAGCTTTAAAGGGGCTTGTGCCCCGTGGCCACGGACCTCTGAGGGCCAGTTATTCCGAAGCAATCCGTGCACTTGAGCTGCTCGCCGCTGACAAGGCTCTGTACCTTGTGCCCCGTGGCCACGGACCTCTGAGGGCCATTTATTGCCTCCGAAGCAATTCGTGCACTTGAGCTGCTCGCCGCTGACAAGGCTCTGTACCAAGGCGGCTGTGGGAGCGGAGGCGGACAGTCAACACTCCTGCGTTTCCCGCTGCCTGTT